CGGTGAATAATTTATGGTGTTGTAGCAAGCCTATATCAATGATTGGCATAGAAACATCTGCGACAACGAAGATCCAGTGTATAAGTTTGCGAAACCTCACTTTACGATAAACATATCGCTTACCATATGTGGCGATCGGTTTTCTGTTTGCCGCCTGTAATTTGGAAACTGGTTCATGCAATCAGTTATTAGAATTCGCGGAAAAAACGCCTACTTCTGCGCCAGTCACACCAGTGACAGATAACAGACAGCTATGCTCGTCGGCTACGGTTATCGTTAACGAGTTACGGTTATGAAGTTCCACGGAGCGTTTGGGGCTCTGTAAATTACAGGGTTTTCTACAACTTCAAGATTTTGGGTGAATGTATCCGGAACGCAACCATGTAATCTTAATGTATCGCCCAGTGTAATAACAGTCATCTGTGCGTTTAAGTAGCCACAGTTTTTGTCATTTCATGATGTATTTTTAATTAAATAACTAGATTATGTTGTTAATTTTGCTCTGTTTTTAATTTTTATTCGCCACGTCTGACTGCGTTGCACTGTACGTTCATTGCATAGTTAGTTTAATCACATAGTTGATCGTTTCCAGATAGACCATGAGTGCGTAATGTTACTGAAGAAAGGTTTGTTGTACTGTAAACTATGTTTCTATGAACAACTGACTGATGTCTTCAGCCTGAAAGCAATATATATATATATATATCTTCTTTCTTCTGTTAGGTAAGTTCGACTGGTCTATATTTCGTGTTTTGGTTTTATCGGCTTAATTATTTCCATTTAACTACTTTGAGCAACATGTCTGTGCAAATGAAACAATAATTATGACACTTGCTTAGTTTAGTATTCTTGGTTGTCGTATAGTTCAATTTAGTCGGAAGAATAGTGGTATAGTTAAGTATAATCCTTGAAGCCTGTAACGAAACAGATCAGTTTAGTAAGTAGAGCTGCCTGTTTCTAATGAGTATACTGATTGAAATCAGTCTGATTAAAAATAGGAAAAGAATGCCTTTGGTTCTGCTGCTGTCATACATTATAAGATAGCGATAAGTATGTTTGGTGTTTATTTTCAAACTATACATCTATCACTGACCATATTTCAAGATTACTGTCATCAAACAATTTCCCCAGCAATAACATCGGTAGCAGGATAACTAAGCGTCTGAGCTTTTAGTTACTCGCAAAACAGCAGTATACAGTCTAAGAAGATGAGTGTTCTGTGTCTTAAATAAATGTAGCTGGCTGTGGATAAATGTTATGAATCTTTTTGACAAATGGGACTTTTAGTTTATCAGACACCAACTTTGCTTGTATGTCTTCGTGTTAAACTAGAGGCAGATGCATGGAAATACTTAAATGGGAGCAAAATAATAAAAGGACTGCGATACGGCACTAAGCCCATGTGATGCTTTGCACAAGTAATAGTAGCTGACCTGATCTAATATGCATGAACTCAAGGTAAATCACAACTACATAAATCCTTTGCTAAAAAACATGTAATTTGGTTATTTATCTATTCCACATTTCTGACCAAATTCATTGCTATTTTTTCATTTAGAATGTAACAGGAGTGAGCCTTCACAGATCCTAAGAACTGTTTCGCCCCTAGAACTATGGCCCTATGAAATTTTACGGGAGACTCAACTAACAGCAGATTATAAAAAGGATGCTGGACGTCCATTTTAGTCTCACAACCACTTCCAGTACTTTTTGAGTTACTTCTTTTACCCTTTCGTTTGGAAAAAACAACAAAGACTGCAGCTTAACATTACCAATGCAACTTTTAAACGGGAACTTCGTTTAAACCTTCGTTTGATATTCGATTCTTAATAAAAGTTCCCTAATAAATTTTTAAATCTAATGCTACTTTGTTTTACCTACTTAATCGTTGCAAGAAACTTGCCTCGAAGCACCTAGTTCACATGTAGTAAATTTAAGTGATTTAGTACATATCTTCGTTATTTGCTTGGCCCTCTCATAACTTAATCTAACCACCATGAGTTGTCACGGCAGCTGATGGACACACGTTATACATCCTAACCGTACCTGCGTCTAACCTCATAGCTTCTTATTCAAATGCCATATTATAGGCAAGCAATGCCCCTACCCGCACTAATGGAACACTAGTAACTCAAAGGCACCCTGCATGGTGCCTTACATTGGTCTAGGTACTAGCTTAGTTCTTTAGTGAGAATATTACTACAGTTCTGCTAAAAATCCCATGAACCCCCTATCTTCATCAGAACAAATAAGTCTGTATTTGCTGCGTATAGCAATTTTATTTTTCTGAAGTAAGATATAACAGTTAGAATTAGAGGAAAATGGCAGTATAAACCAGATGCACGTGGTACATGTCTTCATCGATTAACTGAAATAGAGAATACGGATATTAGCTTAACAGGTTTATTTAGAAAGACTATTGTCTACTATGAACTTATTGCATGAGAAAGTTATACTGGAACCACGAACAATGTAGGAATCTAGTCTCCCAGGGCGTACGAAGCACTCAAACTGGAAGACAGTTGTCCAAAAATAATTCGAATATGAAGGTGAGAATGTGCAGGTATTTTCCATCGTAAGGATGAACATATTAGGTAACGGTTGACACCATACCGTAAAAAAACACAAATTTGCGAGTGGTGAAACATGATCTATAAAAAAGTGAGCTTAATAACAGTGAATTACCTTTTTACTCCCTGATCAATACCCTTCGGCTTCCTTTTATGGCCAAAACAGCAAACATACACTACAAACTAATAGCAGATTTCCGGCTTTTCAATGTTAAGCTTGCTTTAACGCACGACGTAATGAGTACAACCCCTCCATTACTGTCATATGGCATATTTTTTATAACAAGCCCCTTGCAGTAGACTGGTAGCATCTGTGACTCCGTCTATGGTTGTCGGAAGTCTAGATCCTTTCGAAAACAACACTGATATCCCCTACTGCTGAGCACTCAGTATTAGTTTGACTCGTTGGTGGGATGGTGTTGTCCATAATACTGAAGAAAATTAAAAATCGGAGATTGTTTCCTTTCATTTTGCCGATAACATCATAAAGGACAGTGTAGCGGTAAATAAATCCCCAAAATAAATAGCTCTGTAAGTTTTCGACATTGGACGCTGACCATATGTTTTAGTGGACTCATCTAGCTGAAGGCGCTCGGTCAGGCATCCTTACCAGATCACGTGTGGTAACGCCGTGCTCAACATCAACCGCAATCGCTAGCCAGATTAGATCAGACAATTCCGATATATTGGCTATCGCCAAATACACTCTTCTGATCTCCTCGATTCTGTCTTTTGATTTCTCTTGGTGGGTACGAGTTATATTGGGTGTTACTGGTAAAAGCGTTGTCAAACACTGAATACCTGTGCCATCTTCAACAGTTAGGAACGAACATGTGGACAGTTAGTCACAGGCGGCAGCAACAATTATTTTAGCTAAAAAAACGAACTTTGGCTTTGGATATCTAGGAAACAAGTTAAAACAAAACCGATTATCATCTTAAAACACAAGACTAGTCAGCTTGGCTGAAGAAATACGTTGACTTGAGTAGAAGCAGCAAAAACCCAAAAAAGCAATACTGATTAGAAATAAATTTCACACCAACATATAGAACATTACACTAACTGTGGCATTTTAGCACACTGAAACATTAAATTACATAGCTACACAAAAGAAATAGCTGAAAAAAGCACAGAACGAAGAAAGCCGACCGCCATTGCTTACAAAGATGGCAGATATAATAATTCTCACTTCATTCTGATTGGTTGCTAAGCTGAATGGCACATTTACGAAATTGAGTTGAGTTTGAAAGCACCCGAGATTTTCCGTACTGATTATGATACCAGCATCAATCAGGGTTATCTGTCTTTCGTGATCTAAACACAGATGCTTTTCGTGAAGTACTCCTTCGAGGAGTTTGTAGGTGTCTACGGTCATGACGAATACTAAGGTAACGTGTCTGAGTATGACAAGGTTTTGTGACGTCATTTCGTTTCGGTTGAGGCTTTTGTCTGACTGAATATACCTCGGCGTTAGAAATCATCATGATCTCCAAAATCAGATTGGCAGATGCAGCTAGTTCGTCCACGGCGTTATTTCAAAATGAAACAAACATTGTTTACACCTGTTGATAAAGTTTAGACATGAAGAGCTGTCTAAACATGCCCTTGTCAAACCTCCGTTGATCAATGACCTTTCTCACTCGTAGAAACATGTCTGTTTTTGAGTCATGTTGTAGATTGATGCTGTTGAAGAGTTGATCTAACCTTTGTCGGTCTCCTCGTTTAAGAACAGCCTTTTTTAGTGTTTCGTAAGGTTCCGAGACATCACTTGTAAACATACTAGGTGTGACCTACCATTGGAATCGCGCTGTAGTTTCTTCACTTCTGCGATAAATTATGCACGTGGGTCTGTTACGACGTGTTCGTGGAATTCAGCTTCTGCGTATCGGAACCAAGCGTCGATGTTGTCGGGCTGAAATGACGTTAACTGAAATGAGGATGGCGAAAAGGTCTGGAACTTAAGTAGATATAATTGATAGAATACGGATATACCGATAAGTGATTAATCTAGGCTGGTGAGAGGTTGTAGGAGATGTGAAGCACGGCGTACCCACTCGTGATCTGGCGCATATGCGTGACTGAGCGTCTTTAGCTTGATGAGTCTATTTAAACCAATGCGGTCAGCATCAAATGTCTAAGACTTACAGAGCTATTAATTTTGGAGATTTATTTACCGCGTCAAGCCACTTAAGTGTTCATCAGTTACGACTTCATTTCTGTGAACGCACAGGAAGTAAAAGGATTTGACAACTGGGAAATCTGTTTCAGAAAATGCATCTTCAGCAAATCTACTTCTTTGTAGCTAGATGGGGATAGGAGTGAAGGCGAAGAGTTTTCGTTGCAAAATTTTGCTAATAATCCTTAAATATTTGTCCAAGAACTTGTCCAAGAACCATTTGAACCATTTGAATATACATGTGTTTCTCGTTCAGCCTCTAGCGGCGCGACGACAGAACCTGTACGTTAGGTCATGCACTTTTGACGGTAACGTAGTTTTCGTTGCATAGTTTGACTTGGAAGTATGGTGATAGGGATTATCATAGTACACTGCTAATAAGCTGGTTTGTGTTGGTACTTTTCTTATTTATGTAAAAAATAAAGATACTAGATAGGTTGAACCTACCCAATCTTTCTATTTTGGGGAAGCCACGGCTTCTCTATAGTGGCCATAAAAAATTTTGGGGAAATGGTACAAAACTCCCCAAAAATTGGGGGAACCCCAAAGTCGGGAGGTTGGGTACATAATATAAGGACGTATATATATATATATATATATTTGTGATCCATATGAGGGTTCACTTCAGCCTTTAGAGATTAATCAATTGATCATACTATTGCAATGTTTGTTACATACTTACGCAGTATATTAGGTATTTATACTAATAGTGTAATCACTAGCGTTTTGCTTGAGTCTCTGAAAAGCAATTAACCTACTGACTGTCGGCCGTATGAACTTTTTGATTTGACCTATTAAGATCACACTTGGAGCACAATGCAGTAGTTGCTGAACGATATGACCTATTGTTAACAGTTCGTAATTACTGGGTTAGTATGTCTTCTCACTTCACCTATTTGTAGCAGTTAAACTGGAGAAGCCTTAGCTGCCAAAAGTATACCAGCTGGTAATAGTTGACTTTCAGTATTGACATTTGTATCTACAAACTTATTTACAATAGGTAACAGGACTGCAGTCCCTTCTGTTTGAATCTAATTTCACCAGTTAATACTTCTTGTTCGTCCTAAAATAGCAAATTTCATGCCGTTCATCTTTTTCGTAACGCAAATCCTGTTTCCCACTGATATAAGATTTCAGATTCGTGTAGAAAGGACAGAACACATACGGCCTATGTTATTCTTTTTCTAGTATGCTTCTGTGAGTGTCTAGTCTTCTCTTGAATGAATCAATTGAAGATTCACACAAAACTGCTTCGGGTAACAGGTTCCAAGAATTGGTGGCTTGATGCGAAAACCTGTATGCCACCGGTATTTTGTTCGTTTTTGGCTTTTCTACTTGCCTGCTATGTCCTCTGAGATGCCTCAATTTACTGGAAAATAAGAGAAGATATATTGGGTCCAAAATCAATTCTTAGGATTCCATACATTAAAATCAGATCACCTTTAAATCTGCGATAGGATAGAGTAAAGAGGTATAGCTTTTCAAACCGCCCTTTGTATGGTAAACCCTGGAGTTCTGGAACTGTACATGTAGCTGCTCTGTGTATTTTTTCCAGGATATCCAAGTCACATCTCAAATAGGGGCTTGCAGCCTGAACGCAATTTTCAAACCTAATTCTTACTAAGGTTGTGTATCCTATAGTGAATATGATAGTATCTAACTTTGTGAAGTCCGGTTTAAAGCCCATAGGGTTCTAAACCCCTTAGCTGCAACCCCCCAGCAGTGGGCCGCAGTCTTAAGATCATGACTCACCGTCACGTGAAGATCCTTATGAGGTTGGACCACGTGTACAGGCACTTCCTCTATGTTGTACCTATTTACCTTTATATCCCCGAAGTGTATGTTGGCACACTTGGCCGTGTCGATAGGTATCAACCACTCTCTAGACCAGCTAATCACAATATTTAAGTCTGCCTGAAGTGCGCATGCATCTGCGTCTCCCGTTATTTCTCTCCAGATTTTTACATTAGCGTATAACAACATTGGGGACTGTGTGGCGCATATGTATCTGGTGCCCCCTTGTACCAATATGTGTACAAATAAATAAATAAACATTGGAGACTCAACTATACTTGGAAAGTCATTTACATACCTTATTAACACAACATGATGAACACCAAATTCATAGAACTAGTTACTTCAGTGGCAGTAAAATATGAAAGAAAGATTGTGTATAAGGATATTATACAGAAAGAAAGAATTAGTTGGTAACAAGAAAGATATAAAGCAATTTTAGTCTCACAGTTTAAGGGAAAACAGAGAGTGTATACACCGACATTATTGTGATCGGTTCTGATCCATGTCACCCAGAGTCTCCAACCATTGGTCACGATAGTCACGCGGATCCCAACCGAGTAATCTGCATCCACCAGCGTGGCTCAGACTAGAAGTTAGTGACTTCAGACACTGATGCCACGTTTTGGTTTGGCCGCCCCTAACATCCTTCCAGCCATCTCCAACACTTGTTAGGATTGCGTGTCGTGGTAATCGGTGTTCAGGCATACGTAACACGTCGCCCAACTATCTCAGTCAGTGAAGATTTACAACCTCATCCACTGATTTACCACCACTCCTTAATACCCTGCGTCTAACCTCACTATTACTTGCCCGCTGATCCCAGCATATGCGAGCAATATTTCTAAGACATTTGTGATCAAACACTAGCAATTTACGAGTATCTTCTACTCTTGGTGGCCACGTTTCGCAGCCGTAAAGTAGAATAGAACGAACTGCTGCACAGTGTACTCGTCTATTAATTGATGGACGGATGTCTCGCCTTCCTCATAGGTGACGTAAGTTCGCAAAAACCAAACCAGCTTTCTGAATCCGCTCAGAGATTTCTTCGGACACCAACCCATTAGGGTTGATAAGACTTCCAGGATAAGTGAAGTTGTCAACGCGTTGGACTACTTCAGTCCCTATCGTTAGTTCAGGTGTTGACGCAGGCTAGTGCTGGAGCAACAATTTGCTTATAGATGGGGAGAAACACATCCCAAACATCCTGGTATTGTTGTTGCATTGTTACATACAGTATAAAAAGTAAAGGGCGTAGAACAGAACCTTGCGGTACTCCAATAAGTACTGATCTTCAAGTGGAGCACTTGGAATTTACTCCTACTTTCTGTCTACGACCTACCAGGAAATCCTTAAGCCATTTTAGGAGAGGTCTAGCAGTCCCTAGATTTTCCAGCTTCAAGAGCAGTCTATTTTTTGGCACCTTATGCTTTGCTGAAGTCTATGTAGACAGTATTCACTGATTTTCCATTGTTTAAAGCCTTTATCCATTGCTCCCTTGCTACAAAGAGATTTGTTGTGCAAGATAATCTTTTCTGGAACCATATTTTTTGCTGTTTACCAAGTTGTTGGCTTCCACGAGTGTTATTATGATCTTTTTGACTATTCTTTTCAATATTTTAACCACAACACTGGCGAGGCTGACAGGTCTGTAGTTCGACGAAAGCTGTCCTGCTTTGTGTATTGGAGTGACGATTGTACCCTTCTAGACCGTAGGTAACACACCTTGGTCAAGTGACATATTGAATATCACAGTTAGTGGGGCTGCAATATATTGTGTAATTTTTCTCAGGATTTTGGGGTGTAGTTCATTTAGTCCCGTTGACTTTTCCGTGCTAAGAGCCTTAAGTACATCGTTTTGATCAAAGTCCACGTTGGGTAGACGGTTTGTTGACTTTGTATTTGGGTCTAGTTCTTTGTCTAGAAGGGGCTCCTGAGTGGAAGCTGTCCTGAAATAGTTTGCCATAGCCTCTGCATTTTGCTGATCATCTATCATTTCAGATCCGCTCTCTTAATTAGGTTGGGAATCGAATACTGCATCCGTGTTCTGTAATTTATGTGCGATAATGGTCTCTCAGGCTGCTTGATTGCAGATTGTGCCAACTGCATTTCATATTTTCTCTGAGCCTCCCGGATTTTAATTATACACTTATTTCTTACCGACCTGTAGCGTTCCATAGCACTTGCTGTGTTAAGGTTGATGGCAACTTTCCAACATTTCTTCTTTTGTCTTAGTAAACATTGAATATCCCGACCTATCCAAGGATGGCCGTGTTTCTTCTTCTTTGGGACTGTCCAGGGTATATATGGTTGAGTTACCAGATTTTGTAACTGCCTGAAATGAGTCCATGCCTCTTCTACTGATGCCCGCTTGTGCTTTCTGTCGTAATTCGGGACTTAAATTCATTCACTTGACTACATCACAAACCACTTTTTTATGTTACTTCCGTATTATTAGGTAGTTGCTTATTTGGTGGGTTACCTTGTGTTCAACCGGCGTTTCTGTGAAAAGTCGCTTGCTGCTTCTTAAAACGGGTCGTTTGTAAAGGAAAAATATGCCATCTGAGGATAAAAAGAAAAAGGCTCAAGCGAAGAAAGATGCAGTCAAAAAGCGAAATCAGAAGCAAACGCGGTCAGTATCAACGGTGTTAGATAACGAGAGTGATGTAAAGACTGATAAGGAAACCAATTCTACTTCGCAAAATGGGTTATTGTCTCAGTCTTCGAATCACAATCAGATACGTGAGGATGACTTCGTGGGTAAGTTCGTTTAGTAATGCTTGAGTCCTAGTATGTTAAGTCATTGTTTTTCCAAGACAATAATTTATGATGCAGTAAACTAGGATCCATTTACGTTCGCTTCGTACTAGCACGATTGGATGTCAACTTCTATACTTTAATCGCTTGATGATCATTTCTGTGTTCAGTTACCTGGTCATTCTTTTTGATGTGCCGAATTGATAGTCCTAGAAAATTACAATCTAACATTCTAAGCCGCGGACTCAATAATTACTATTAATTAATAACCCTCTGCTTATCAGATCACCTCGCAGGATTATGTGAGACATCATATAGTACGAAGTGACATAAAACGCCAGGTTTTAGTGACTAGTTAACGTACTCATCAAATCGTCCCTTCATTTAATTAATATCATTCTTTAATGTTTAGTTTTATTGTCATCACTATTACGGTTACTTTGACTCGTTTGTTATCTATCTCGTTAGTTTCATCGCACTGTGCTAATATAATATGACTTCTATTAACTTACATTTGTGCCACACTATTTTACTAACGACTGTTTCACTTTCTACATCTAATTTGGCGTTTTGGAGGCCAGAAGACTTTTGGAAGAACTAATTCTGGATTTTACCTTAGCTTCAGTTGTTGGGATTGGAAATAAAGCATTTTTTATTTGACCATAATTTGCCAAGGAAACGACCCGGGAGTTTCGACATTGCATATTCCAAAAGATTGGACCACTAACAGACTGAATACACCCTAAATGATCCATATATGCACCTGCCATTTAGTTTAATTAATATGGGTTACTAAATTTGAAATCAAGAATTAAATCAAAATACACAAAATGACTAGTCGGTAGATGATGCACATATGCATTCATTCGTTTACTTCTGGATCGCGAATTTCCAAACTATTTTCTACCTCTTATTCCGTGAATTCATCCTCGGATCATCTGCTCTATCTTATATTTCTTACTATCACTGATACCACTACTACTGTTACTATATTGACTAATGAATCCTCGTGTATATGGATTTATTTTCGGAATTTTTATTTAGGTAGTGACGATGAAAATAAGGAAGTACATCAGGCGTTGGTTGAAACCTTGGAATGCTTGGATCTTGTTAGTGAACGTGTTGCCGCTTATCGGTCCGTTACTGGAGTCCTAGCTTCTCATCCTGAGGCTAGAGATGTGCAGTTTTCAAATTTAAGTATCACTTTTCATGGAAAAGCTTTATTAGCTGATACTCGTTTGGAATTAAACAATGGTCGAAGGTCTGTTATTTGGTTTACTATTGCCTTGTGTTATGGTTCATCTGCTTACATAATCTTTCCTAAACATGTTTGATTTTAAGGGTCTTTATGAACCTATCTAGTCTTATAAGGAAACGGAGATACTAGTAAATACAAATACTCCATCTAAGTCTAACAAGTGATTTCTGAGATTGCCAAACCATGCATTTTAGAAATCTAGGTTCTGAACCCATTCGATCTGGTCCTTTGGGTGGTATCTTAATTTAGTTAAGAAATCTGTCACTTTTTCTCTACTCATAATAGCCCTGTGCTTATATTCGCTAAATTTTCATGTATGGTCAAATGAATCGCTATGGAGCAGTAAAAGGTCGTTTCAGATGTAACAGTTAATTAAAAACTGTTAGAAAGGCTGTCCCAACTAGTTTTCTTTGTACACATACTTTTTTTTTCGATTTATGTCTCTAATACAAAATTAGTTAGGAAAATAAGTATATGAATCTTAGCTTGATTTATCGTCGAAATAGGTGTCACATTACTAAGTTATATGTCACCAGTCATCATTCAGGTAGGAGCTAGTATTCACTTTGAGTCATGTGCCATAGCACATCAACAGGAGTAATGTTCAAGGATTGGAATTAATTTTGACTAATAGAAATCTGAAATTATCGTCAAAAAAGAACAAATGAAACTGAATATTATTATATCCTTCCACATCGATATTATTGGCTTTTGTATGGCTTTATTTTCCCATGGTTCACCTTTTCTTACTTGTTGCTACACCTTGTAAAATACAATATATATGATGCTTACCGATTTACATTTACATTTACGCCTGTTACTCCTCGTGAAGGAACATAGGCCGCTCACCAGCATTCGCCATGCAACCCTGTCCTGGGCAATCCTTTCCAGCTCCTTCCAGTTGTTATTCATCCTTTCCATATCTGCTTTTATTTCCCAACGTAATGTGTTCTTTGGAATTCCTCTTTTCCGCTTCTCTTCAGGATTCCAAGTTAGGGCTTGTCTCGTGATGCAGTTTGACGATTTGTGTAATGTATGTCCTATCCATTTCCATCGTCTTTTCCTAATTTCTTCTTCAGCTGGAAGCTGGTTTGTTCTCTCCCACAAAAGGCTGTTGCTGATGGTATCCGGCCAATAGATGTTGAGTATCTTGCGTGGACAGCTATTTACAAATACTTGCACCTTCTTGATGATGGTTGTTGTAGTTCTCGAAGTTTCAGCTCCATACAGCAGAACTGCCTTGACATTCGTATTGAAGACCCTCACTTTGATATTGGTTGAAAGTTGTTTTGAGTTCCATATGTTCTTCAATTGTAGGAATGCTGTCCTTGCTTTTCCAATCCTCGCCTTTACGTCTGCATCTGAACCTCCTTGTTCATCGATGATACTCCCCAGGTGTGTGAAGGATTCTACATCTTCCAGAGTTTCACCACCAAGTGTGATTGGGTTGGTGTTCTCCGTGTTGTATTTGAGGACCTAGGTTTTCCTCTTGTGTATGCTGAGGCCTACTGATGCAGAGACTGCTGCTACACTGGCTGTATTTATCTGCATTTGTTCGTGTGTATGCGATAGGAGTGCCAGGTCATCTGCGAAGTCCGAATCGTCTAATTGATTCTGAGCTGTCCATTGTATTCCGTGTTTTCCCTCAGATGTCGAGGTCTTCATAATCCAGTCGACCACCAAAAGAAAGAGGAAGGGAGAGAGTAAACAGCCTTGTCTGACTCCGGTCCCTACTTGGAATGCGTCTGTCAGCTGTCCTCCATCCAGGACCTTGCACTGTAGTCCGTCATATGAGTTCTGGATAATGTTGACAATCTTCTCAGGAACGCCGTAGTGTCGAAGAAGTTTCCGTAACGTTCTCCTATCTACACTGTCAACTGCCTTTTCATAATCAATGAAGTTGATGTACAGTGACGAGTTCCACTCAATTGATTGTTCGACGATGATCCGTAATGTCGCAACTTGGTCTGTGCACGACCGATCCTTATGGAATCCAGCTTGTTGATCTGGAAGTTGGGCGTCTACTGCATCTTTCATCCGGTTCAGCAACACTCTGTTAAAGACTTTCCCTTGTACTGACAGTAGTGTAATACCTCTGTAGTTTCCAAGTTTGCTCAGGTTTTCTTTCTTTGGAATCTTGATGAGGTGTCCTTCTTTCCAGTCCATCGGCACTTGTTCCTCCTCCCAAATCTTTTTGAATAGAAGGTGAAGCATGTTTGTAGTTACTTTGATGTCTGACTTCAGTGCTTCAGCTGGTATATTGTCGGATCCTGCTTCCTTCCCGCTCTTGATTTGTCTGATGGCCATTCTGATTTCTTCGGTGGTTGGTGGCTTGACATCTATAGGAAGATCTGTATGCGCTGCTTCGATGTCCGGTGGATTCATTGGAGCCGGCCTATTCAGGAGTTCCTCGAAGTATTCTACCCATCTGTTCCGCTGTTGTTGAGTTTCAGTGATTGGCCTGTCTTCTTTGTCCTTGACCGGTCTCTCTGGTTTACTGTATTTCCCTGCTAGTTTCTTCGTTGTATCGTAAAGTTGTTTCAAATTTCCTTCCCTTGCAGTTTTTTCCGCCGTCGTTGCTAGTTTTTCTACGTACTTCTTGTCGGCTCTAATGCTCTTCTTCACTCGTTTGTTTGCTTCTATGTGTTCAGCTTGTGCTTGGACTTTCTCTGCTCTTGTTCGGCTGTTGTTTATTGTTGCCTTCTTGTTCTTCCTTTCTTTGATCTTGTCCAGTGTTTCTATAGAGATCCATTCCTTATGATGGTGCTTCTTTAGACCCAGAACCTCTTGAAACGTTGAAGCTAATGCTTCTTTGGTACTTTTCCAGTTGTCCTCCATAGTATTTTATTCTTCCTTCAGTAGATCCCGTACAGCTTGCAACCTGTTGTTGAGAGCTATCTTGAATTCGTTGATTTTGTTAGTATCTCGAAGGAAGGCTGTATTGAACCTTGGTAATGCTGTTTGTCCAGTTGTCCAGTTCTTCTTTAGCTTCAGTTTTAAATTGGCCACAACTAGGTGGTGATCTGAAGCTATGTCAGCTCCTCTCCTAGTTCTCACATCTTCCATTGTCCTTCGGAACTTTTTGTTGATGCAAATATGATCTATCTGGTTCTCTGTAGTGTGGTCCGGTGAGATCCATGTAGCCTTGTGTATACGTTTGTGTGGAAATGCTGTGTTGCCTATGACCAATATGTTGATTGCACACAGATTTGCAAATCTTTCTCCATTTTCGTTTCTCTCACCCAGTCCATGTCGTCCCATGATATCTTTATATCCAGTGTTGTCTATTCCAACTTTGGCATTTAGATCTCCCATCAGAATGGTGAGGTCCTTTCTTGGGCACTTCTCTATGATTGACTCCAGCCGCTCGTAGAATTGATCTTTAATGTCGTCGTTGGTATCATTGGTGGGTGCATAACATTGGATAATATTCATTGTGATCCCCTCCTTCTTTGTTTTGAATGATGCTTTGATGATTCCGGATCCGTGAGATTCCCACCCTACAAGTGCATTTCGTGCTACTTTGGGCAGTATTAAAGCAACTCCCTGAATGTGCGGAGCATTTTCCTCTTCGTGACCGGAGTATAGTAGCATCTCTCCCGTATTTAGCCTTCGTTGTGCAGCTTGGGTTTAATGGGTTTCGCTGATTTTCAGTACTGCTAAGTTGTTTTTCCTCATTTCCGTTGCTATTTGACTTGTCTTCCTGGTCTCCCACATTGTTCGGACGTTCCATGTACCTATAAAAATTTTTCCCTGGTTGTTAGAAAGGGCATTTGCCTCGTGGCTTCCGAAGGAACTCGGCTTTCACCATGAAGCGTCGTAATTCTTCTAAATGAAGACCTAACTTTGAGGGCAGAGTTTAAATGGTTTGAATTATTTTTTCTGGTTAGCGTTTTTTAGCGAGTTAGTTTTCTACGGGATGGGGACGCTAACCCCATACCCAACCCTCCTTTACCCGGGCTTGGGACCGGCAGTAACTCTGGAAGAGCTACATGCGGTGTGGCGGAGCGGTCTAAGGCGCCAGAATCAAGAGTGTTCTTACCGATTTAATAGTGTAATAAATAAATACGAAGTCCCTGCTCTCTTACTTAAATACGTCGTTGTCTATAATGATTCCATTCTATATTTGGTCGCGTAGATCCGCTCCCATATTGTCGAATTATATGGGACGACAATGAATTGGACAACGCCTCTGCGGCTAAATTTGTACCATATCACGCACCATTTCCAACCATGGTTTACAGATAATATTGTATAGGAAAGAGACTTCAAAAATAAACTATTTCAACGCGTAAATGCACATAATAATAGTAATTGACGTTCTTCCGATTCAAAAAGAAATAAACAAAAGTATCAGTTTTTCATGATTAAGCGAAATATTTATTGTAGATTATTTATTTTATTTATTTGAACACATAAATATTGGTACAAGAGGGCACCAAATATATATGCGCCACACCATATTTGTGTGTTTGGGCTGTGATACTGCCCGGGTGCCCAGACCGAAGCAGGTGGTTTTCTTAGGGGTGCACACCCCGAGCCTTTGGCCTAAAGGTCTGATCCACAAGGCAGTGGAGCATCGTAAGGAGATGCATTCCCATGGTAGCCGGTGACCAACGATTGGTTCATACCCCATTTGTTCCTTCAGGATACTGGAGCCCATGTGCACCATTGGTTTGGGATCTGGTTAAAGCGCCAGACATTCTCTTTTCATCCTCTCATTTTCGTAAACAACACCCCCGCCACGAGAAGGCAGTGAGTAGGACTTCCCTGGTAGAGGCTGTATACGCGTGGCCGTGTGAGAGCATTTCGAGAGGGAGGGAGGGCCCACCCCACTCTCTGCCATACCAGGGCATTTGGGGGCATGTATTGTAGATATCATCTATAAAACAGATCTCACATGTATCTTACTAACTTCTGGTTTAGATGTACTGTGCACTGATTTCTTTAAATTACTGTCATGTATTGCCAAAAGCGATCGTTATGCTTAGTCTTGGAGTTATTTTTGGGATTTCATTTATTGAATTTATGAGAGCCAATTAAACGATCTTTAAGTCACATAAAACTTTGTGGTTGAAATCTATAAGACTAATAAAACGTTATTTACATGTTTAAATGTAAATCCCGTATGTATTGTATTTCAGATATGGATTGATTGGCTCAAATGGTTGTGGCAAATCTACTCTTCTCGCTGTAATAGCCAATGGAGAACTTCCTGTACCACCTCACATTGATATTTTTCTGTTGCAACGTGAAATGGCACCAACAAACAAAACTGCATTGGAGTGTGTAATGGAAGTTGACGAAGAACGTGTACGTTTAGAACAAGAAGCTGCACAATTGGCATTAGATGATGATCCTGGTAACACTAATAGATCTCTGTTTAATTCATCCTAATTCTATGTTTTTGCTTTTAAGTCATTCGTCTTTTTCCGGTTCACTTTTTCTGTAAATAGACCTAAAGAACATAGTAATGTCACAAAAAAATAATATTTTTTGAGTAGACACTCGTATGTCAGTCAATGAATATTAACTAGAAAGTTCAAAGAGTAACTGTTTATATTGCTGGAAATTACCACGATAATTACACGAAAAAACTAGTAAAACCGATGAAATACAAATTTATTATTCAACTGTGCATTATACAAAGTATTTATGCATTTCGTAATTCGTACTCAACTCTCAACTCTTGTCAAACATTTTTCATCATAAACTAGTATAGTTCATATAATCTAAATGAGTAGTATCGGTCTAATATGATTCAAAAAGCCTACTTTTTATGAGTAATATGTAAATTCATTCTGGTATTGAGTTTGCATTGCTCACATATCTCTGTTACTAGAATATTATGTGGTGTAATAAATCATATGTATTTTATAAACGTGAGGTAAGGTAAGTTTTTCTTTACGAAATGTTTCTTTGGTTTATACAGTAACGACTTTTTCAGGCTGGTAATTGTTCTCATTATATGCGAAAATCAACGCTTGCTTACATTATTTTTTCAAATCTCACAATTTTAGAAACACATGAACGTTTACTAGAGGTTTATCAACGCTTAGACCATTTAGATGCGGATAAAGCTGAAGCAAAAGCAGCCGAACTTCTTCATGGTTTAGGATTTACCGCCGAAATGCAAAAGAAAGAAGTAAGACTTAAAGTGAATTGAATCGTTCGTGAATTCTGTGAAACCCAATCATTTTATAACTCAATAGTTGATTTTATATAAACCTTTTTCCCATAGGTTCGTCATTTTAGTGGTGGTTGGCGAATGAGAATCGCTTTAGCCCGAGCTTTATTCGTTCGTCCTGCATTACTGCTACTGGATGAACCAACAAATCATTTGGATTTGAATGCATGCGTTTGGTTAGAACGTCAACTAGTCAATTATCCACGGTGTTTAGTTATAATATCACATTCACAAGATTTTTTGAATGGCGTTTGTAACCACATTATTCTGATGAACAAGCAGAAATTGACCTATTTCGGTGTAAGTTCGTTTTTTCTCTAATTATGTAGTATAATTATGGATTTATTTGAACTTCGTTTTACTCATAGTATTTTAACTCCGTGATGTTTATATATATTCATTTATGGGAGTATTGATCACAAGTAGGAATATATACCACCGTTTTATCTAAACTAACACTCATATACTCTTATTTGATACTTTATGTACATAACCCAAAATTCCATCTAGGTAGTTTTATTTTAGGTGCACGTATATATATATTCTTGTGTTATGTACATAAGTACTCATTCACCGGGTTGCAAAGGGTTTCTAAACCATTGGTCGGTACTTAAATCGGTCAAATGATTTTTTAAAGCTGGCTTAATTTATAATTTACATAGTAATGTAAGCATAATTAATAAATCGTACAATCGTTTACTGAAATTGTTCTATCTTTCCATGAATTTTGTCAAATAAAAAATGTCTCGCTTTTTTATGTTGGTGATGTCAACAGTGGGGGGATGTTTTTTCCGAAAGGGTTTATGTTGATTATAAGCCTTAGCAATTTGCTTGGACGACCTGTGCTAACTATGGCTGAAAGATTATTATATGGTTCTCATCAAACTATATGATTTGTTGAGAATTGTATATATGTGAGGATATCCGGTAGATATCCCCTATACGTAAGCTTTTCTACTACAACTGATACTGTTACGACTACTACTACTATTCTTAGATTTGCCTAGAAATAATTTCGTTTCGTTATGCTAATGTAGTATGACACCCTGAAACGATCTACGTATCAGGTTCTACGTTGTTTATAACTGACGCTACTGAATAACACGTCATGCCTATTACTCCAATTTATATAAGTAGCTGAAATATTTATTAAGTATTTTTATTATTAAATTTTTTTATTCAGGGTAACTACGATCAGTATGTACGCACTAGGTGCGAGTTGGAGGAAAATCAAATGAAGCGGTTCAAATGGGAACAAGATCAGATTGCTTCAATGAAGGTAAGTTAACATATCAAGTCAAGAATTTTCAAATTCAACCACACTTTCATTGCTTTCTTTAATCGTCGGTTAGAGACTTCAGTTTTAGGTCTAGAGAACTGCGTAGTTAAAAAGCTTAATGGTATTTTCCTTTAACCTCTATTAACTTCTAGGATTACATAGCTAGATTTGGACATGGAAACAAAAAAATGGCACGTCAGGCACAGAGCAAAGAGAAAGTTTTACAGAAAATGGTAGCTGGCGGTTTAGCTGAACGTGTTGAGGGAGATAAGACTCTGACATTCTACTTCCCTGACCCTGGAAAAATACCACCACCTGTTATTCAAGTTCACCAAGTTAGCTTTCGATATGGACCAGATAAGGTAAGACTAAGTATTATTCTAGTGACTTCAGTTTAGGTTTGATTCCTGACTTTCCTGTCTCTATATTAAAACTATTTTCGCAATCTGGATCGTTAGTCTTTGTATCGAGTCACAAGTTTATTATGCTTATCTACTTAAAGTGTCTTCATTCTATATCTCTGGTTAGTATTTGTTTATAAGTTCTCTTTATAACAAAAATGAGCTACCATTTATTCAGCTTAGTCCAACCCCTTCCCAGCCTATCAACAATTTACGATAAAAACACAAATCCACAAAATTAAGAATAGGTGGGCACAAATGCTATTACGATTTAGACTTGAATACGTACACTGGAATATAGGAGAGTCTGGTTATTCAATACGTGATTCTTTGGGTCTGTTTCAATCATGGAGTATTTTGTAGCATCTACTGTAACGATGCTCACTAATGGACATGAATAATAAAATGAAACCTTAAGACTCGTATGTACAAATGGGATTTAATTAATGATGTGAACAACATATATAAATATAATATTTGGTCTTAAATGAAATGGTTTATAGTGCAACAAGTACTTATATTTTTATAAGTATACGTGAGACTAACTTTTTTTTAGTCAGTTAAGAAATAATAAACGTTTCACATTTTAATACTTTCTTTCTCACCTACAATGTCATCGATAGATGATGGGATTAATTAAAGCAACAGTTTAAACATGAATGTGTTCTATTTTCAGACTATGATGTTTACTTCAACCTGTATTATATCCTTATGTGCAATATTTCTTTTTTATTTTATTACAATTGAAGTAACTACTTATATGTATTTGGTGTTCATCTTGTTGTGTTAATGAGGTATGGCAACTTGGACTGATACATATATGTACCTAGTCTTACATTGTAGCTGACTGACTGACTTCAACCTGACAAGTAAATAATCATGGCGTAAAATATTGATAGTTGTCTATCACTCAAAAACACATGTTAGTGAGGACTGTAACGTTATTGTTTGATCAATCGAATAATTTAATATCTTTTAGTTAAATATTTTAAAATAACTAAAAGGAAATTGTGGTTATACCAATTACTGTGTAAAATGACTTGTTTTCATTAATAATTCTTCCAGTTAAAATTTTTTTATTCAATTACCACTAACACTTCCGATTAAAATAAAGTGGTTATAGTTTAATTATTTTAACACGAATTGAATCACCAAGTGTTTCGTAAACGTTTGAATTCATTTCAACGGTATCTGTATGTTTATTCATCTGTAACAGCTGGACAAGGTGTAACACCTTATCACAATATATACGCATCCAAGTTAAATGGATGAACTAGATCAAAATAGTTTCTCGGCTATATGTGTTAAGTTAAATTTTATTTTATTTTAAAGCTTAGATCTGTTCTCAACCTTGAAAGTTGTGTTTTGTAGCCTTGGATTTATCGTAACATTGATTTGGCCATCGATTTAGATCGTCGCGTTGCTTTAGTCGGCCCGAATGGTGCAGGGAAATCAACTTTGTTGAAGTTAGTCGCTGCTGAGGTAGGCATTATAGTTAATCCTTTTAGATACTTATTTACACTATACTACCACATTTATTTTGAACTGTGAATAAATCATCATAGTATTTTAACAGATATTGCATGCTTCCTGAGTAAATTTATTTTGTGCTTAATTCATTACAGTTGGATCCAACTGATGGTCTTGTTCGCCGACATTCACATGTTCGTATGGGTCGTTATCATCAGGTGGGAGGCTATTCATTTTTACCTTACCTTTAGTTAAAAGTGAAAATATGTTTTAGAAAGCATAATTAGCATACATTAAAATTGTTAATATTTCATTGCTTTTCGTAGCATCTACACGAAATGTTAGATATTAACATGAGTCCAGTCGATTGGATGATGCAATGTTATCCGGAAATTAAAGAACGTGATGATATGAGAAAATTACTTGGACGTTACGGTTTGTCAGGGCCTCAACAAGTTAGTTGTTTATTTGAACGTATTAATTTTTGTTAAATGTTTCCACTTGGTAAGGATTTATTTGGTTGGGTGGATTTATGCTTTGAAATTGTAAACATTTTTTCTTGAAATCAATATCTTAATTTGTTTCTTTCCAACAGAATACATGTTGACTAATTTTTTGTCCGAATTATGATTATTATGCAAATAAATAACATCAACTTTTTAAAGCTGAGTAGCCTATTATTAGTTGGCTTGCCAACTTATCAAACTTCACGCTCATTTTATACTTTGAATTTATGTTTTTCATTGATTTTAAAGCATAAAATCATATTTTACAGGTGTGGTGTGTGGTACATATTCATTGTTTCGGTATGCTATTTTTGCCAGACTATTTATTTAGCTTTATTTTGATATTGTGTCAGATCTCATAACAGAAGTAAAGCTAGTATTCCCTTCAGCTTAGAAATAGAACGAATTTAAATAAACATACTTAGGTTATCTAGGCATGAAAATAAATTAGTACTTTTGTAAAGTTCCCATAACTTCAAACTAATAGTATTTAAATATTATTTTTTGGGTGTTTAACAGAATATTATTATTATCTAAACACATAAACATTGGTACAAGGAGGCACTAAACAGATATGCTCCACATAAATCATTCGATTTGTGTGAGGGCTAGAATACTGCCCGGGTGCTCAAATCGAAACAGGGTTAAACAGAATAACTACCATACTATAATCATATCGAGTTTTTGTTTGTCATAAGTGAACTGTACCAAAGATGAATGTTGTGCTGTACATATATATATATGCATACTGCTAAAAAATTCTCTCTTAAAGCATTCCAAACATCAATCTAACTTAAACAAGGTTAATTAAATTTAACTAGGTATAATAAATAAGATTTATTCGCTTTTTCATTAAGCAATAATGTGACTGATTTCTATGATTGTAATATCAACTATCGTACACAGGTTTATCACTAATTTTGTTACTTATATGGCATGGCACTTTGGAGTAACATACATTTGTATGTTATTGTATGTATATTGGTTTATAACATGAGTGACCAAGTGACCATTTTCTGTTGTAATTTTTGTTAATACCTCATGTTACCTATTTACAAAACTTCTGTATAATTTCAGGTATGCCCTATTCGTACATTATCTGATGGACAAAGATGTCGGATTATATTTGCGTGGCTTGCTCAAAAAGCTCCTCATCTTTTGCTACTTGACGAGCCTACAAATCATTTAGATATTGAAACAATAGACTCACTAGCTGAAGCTATCGATAATTTCGAAGGTGGTCTACTACTTGTTAGCCATGACTTTAGGCTAATATCTCAGGTATGTCTTCGAGTTTCCTTTCCGTTTTGAAACTTCATGCTAGCTTTGACTACGTTCCGTATATTAAATGTAGTTACTTACTTACGCCTGCTACTCCCAATGGAGCATAGGCCACCAACCAGCATTCTCCAACCCATCAGATCCACCGTGTTAATTAATGATACTGCCCAAATATGTAAAGGTTTTTACATCTCCCAAATCGTCTCCGTCAATTGTGATTGGATTGGTGCATGCTGTGTTGTATCGGAGAATCTTGCTTTTCCCTTTGTGTATATTGAGAGCTACTGCTGCTCCACTGGTCTTCTCCTACATTTGTTGTTGCGTGTGCGATAGAAGGGCCAGATCATCTGCGAAGTCTAGATCGTCTAGCTGCATTCTAGATGTCCACTGTATCCCATGCTTCCCCTCAGATGTTGACGTATTCATGATCCAGTCGATCAGCAGGAGAAAGAGAAAGAGTGAGAGTAAGCAACCTTGCATATCACCGGTCTTCACCTCGAACGAGTCTGTCAATTGTCCTCCATGCACGATTTTGCAGTTTAATCTATCACAGGAATTCTGTATGATATTGACTATCTTCTGAGGCATGTCATAGTGTCGAAGAAGCTTCCATAGTGTTGTCCTGTCCACGCTGTCAAATGCTTTTCCGTAGTCAATGAAGTTGATGTAGAGTGATGAATTCCATTCAATTGATTGTTCCGCAATGATCCGTAGAGTTGCGATTTGATTTATTCACGATCGATCCTTACGGGACCCAGTCTGTTGGTCTCGAATTTGGGCGTCTACGGAGTCCTTCATTCTGTTTAACAATACCCTGTTAAAGACTTTTCCTGGTATTGAGAGAAGAGTGATGCCCCTGTAGTTATCACACTGGCTGAGATCGCCTTTCTTTGGTATTTTGGTCAGAAGTTCTTCTTTCCATTCTGTTGGTACTTGTTCTTTATCTCAATGTTAAATGTAATAATGTAACTTATTTCCAAAGCGTACTTTTATATACTTGACTATGGGGCCGTAATGCTTAGTCCTATGTCAAGCCCATATGGAGTTGTCTCACTTGTCTTCTCCGCCTTGCTTCTCTCTCTCTCTCCATCTTTTATTTCTCCACTTCGTTTCTCTGGTTTTCTGTCTTGATCAACGAGTGTACGTAATATACGTATCTAAAATTCATTCTCGTATTTATTCCGTCATTCACTAATGCGAACAAAGTTGAAAATTATGTACGAGGTTATCCTGGTTGTATATTTCGATAATATCATCATATGATTACAAAAGTGGACATTCAGAATAAGACATGGAACTAGACACTGCAAGGCAACGGCTATTCCCCCCCCAAAAAAACGAAGTTTGTTAAATATTGTTTAAACCATCCTACCTACTGATTCGAAATCGAGTAGTAAAACGATTTAGTCATCACTTATATTTTCCTCATAAGTGTCCTTCAGTGATCATGTTACTTAAATCACAAGTTCTAACTCTTTACTGAGTAGTAGCTTTAAGAAGGGACTATATTATTACTAGTGATTTCATTATACCAAATCACTTTGGATAACTAATTAAGACTAGTCGAACAACTTTTTTAAGCGTTGTGTTATTCACTCTATACTTTTTGAAACTTACCGTTCTCGCCAGAAATCCTTCAGGTCAAAAAATCTGTAATACTCTTCTGGATTGATTTTTCTAATACCTGTCTATAAAAATAGTATTAATAAATATGAAATATCACTTCAATTCTGCTTTACTTTGTAGAACTACATAAAACGAGGGTTGGAAGCATTGTAACTTCATGCAGTCTTTATGGATAACTAAAGTCGATCACTGCAATAGAGTTACAGTAATAGTTGTGACACATTGTTTTACAAATAGATTACTGTGTTCCTGTTTTTGTGCGATAAGCATACCTGTACATTTGACTCACATACATCACTTTTTCCATACTAAGTTATTTTTACAGTATAATTTTACCTACCTTCTATTTGAATCACAGTTGCTTTTATAACTGTGAAATAATTACTTAGGCGTTGTTTAGTTTCCTTGCACATACACTTCAAATCAAATTGTCGAAATTGTGGCTAACAATTCCAGTGAAATGTATTGAAAAATTGTTAAAAGCATAATGACTAATTGCAGTTCCCTTCACATATTAATTTAACTTTAGACCACCCATATTAGTTAAAGAGTATCTGATTAATGAAAGCAAACCATCTAAGATATTTTCAGAAGTTATTACTTTGATTGTTCAATCTTTTTAAGCTTACACGATTTACTTGGAAATCAATTCAACATATTCTTATATCAATCATTATTCTTTTTTATACTACTAATAAATTGGGATCAACATAATACGATATTTCACAGGTTGAAATCATGAGTCGATTGAAGCTAGACAATGGTATACGGTGGCGCAACTTCGTGGATTGGTTGAAGTTAGACATTAACACCGTTAGATGCCGGCTCAGTGGTTAAGTGCTCGCGCGCGAAGCCAGTAGGTCCTGGGTTCGAGCTCCGCGTGGTGCGGAATCGTGGATGCGCACTGCTGAGGAGTCCCATACTAGGACGAAACGGCCGTCCAGTGCTTCCAGGTTTTCCATGGTGGTCTAGCTTCAATCGACTCACGATTTCAACCTGTGAAATTTCTAAAACTCTCCACAAAACCCATTCTTATAATACGATATGTTTTGTATTGAGAATATTGAAGATGTTCAATGTTTTTTTTTAAGGATCAAATAAATTTTGCTTCACTAATAATTTTTTACCGTTTGTGTTCTTTTTTTAGGTTGCAAAAGAAATCTGGGTATGTGAGAATGGCACTGTAACTCCTTGGGAAGGTGATATTTTCTCTTATAAAAAACATTTGATGCGAAGTGTTTTAAATGAGTCTCAATAGTTTATAAATATTCTTTTACCAAGATTTATCATTAATATATACATTGGTATATTATATGTACAGCATTATAAATATTCTCTGTGTCTTAATCCTATCACAGATTTTTATTTTGTTTCTTTCCTGGATAAAAATAGTAAATTTTGAGATTCTGTTTAGCGAAACTACATTTTGACTGAGAATTTCTTATGTAACACTGTTATATTGTGTTTATTGTTTAGAAATATAAAGTTTTGGGAGTGACAACTTTTTTGACCTTTTTTATTCACAAGTCTATTTATTTTTACGATATGTGTTATAACTTGTGGCCTGTGTGCCCTATTAATGTATAACGTAACGATAACGTCAGTTAGAGAGCAGTGAATCATCGATCGGACCAATGATGCTTAAAATCCGTACGAGCAGTCTAGAGTACTTATCGGCTCCGCTTCCTGCCTAACCCAGCCAGTTAAGTCCAGAACACTAATCTCAGCCTGTGTGACATGAATCATTTATTTCAAACATACTTGGTTCATATACCAACCAGACAGACCACATCGTACCAATAAAATAGGAAACAACATTTATACAGGATTTGGCCAAATGTGGTTGTGAATGTAGGAGCTGGTAATTAATAGACGGCATAATTCAAGAATGGTAAATCGTATAATAATAGTCCATAGGTCAAAATAAAGCTCATAATAAGAGGGACACGAATGTGTATAATTATTTAACAATTATACGATAAAAATATACGCATAGTATTGCTCCATAAATGGATCCCAAAAGTTACCATTCACTATGCTTATCGGGACATAACAATATGTTGTGCGGATCAATGACAGTTATAATTAGTGGCAGTTGCCTGTATATTTTAACAGTGAATTCCATCGATAGTTAATACAAATTGAATAGCACTAATGACATAAACGGAAGCCAACTTGTTTCGGGAATCTTTTTCAGTGCTTGCGCGTTTTTTTTACTTGTGATACAATTTAGGTAACCTAACAGACTGATACGATGGGCGAGGTGTTAATCCAGTGGAGTATGAGTAACCCACAAAATTGATTCCCACGAATTGGCTATGATATTCAATCATAATTTTCTTGGTACTTTATGCACAAGTATGCTATTGTACTAGAGAAAAATCCGATTCTACGGCTCATATGTCTTCTAATATCAGTTCAACGTGGGAACTTACGTCAATATTTCGGACTTATAAGGAGCCATTTGATAACTTCATATCATCTATCGACAAACATTATTTTCTCTGTTTCTAACTAGTGTTAATTCATTTATAAAATCCTACTTCATAAATAGACACTGGATTTTGTCTGAACTCGGTTTTTTATACAATATCGATATCCAATTTCCAACTGAATGGATTACGTAAGACAACCGTTGATTGATTTCATGATTTTATAAATATCTTGAAATCTAAATGATTTTCTTTTTACGAAATATCCAACCAAAATAGTATAGCTTAAAATTAAGGATGAAATCAAAGGTCACAAAACAACTAATAATTATTCATTTCTCCCTATAGGATTAGTTTTTATTAGAATTATATGAAAATTCTAAATAGAATTCCCTTTATCTATCAGTGTTGAACCGGATAATCATAATCTTAAGTTATCTGCGAACTTTCGTTAACCAATTTTCAATAATTGGTATGTGTGATTAATTCTCAAGAGGCTGGATAAACATGTGACAGATCTGTTATCAGATAATGAAGATAACGGAAATATAAACTCTATGGTTGTGTATATTACTTATGTTGACATAAACAAGTAGTATGTAACAACAATCAGGAGTGGAGTTCCTGGCAACAAAAGGTGGAGATCAAATTGAAGAGAACGGCGATGTAAACGGAGAGTAATTGTAATAAGAATGAAGGACCGATGGAGTTTAAGACAATTGATGTAAGATTTGCAAATGAAGTATTTAATGTATTGTTTTTCATGTTTTACAAGAGAACTCTAATTTTACTTTGAATAAAGTGTTTATCTTCGCCTGAAATTCTCGTCCACTACATGACTACTTTGTTTTCTGTTGAACTGATGTAATGACTCATAAAATATAGCTTTTAACTAAAGTTTAAGTAAGTATTTCTACTGAGCTTAGACAAAGTCGTCAAACTTTGTCTTCCAATCATTTGCGTTGATCCTACTCGGTCAAAAGGAATCTGTCTGTTTGCGTATAATGATGAATTTACTTGAAGAATTCTCATTGGGCCTGATGGGTCGATCCAAAAGCTTTTGGATTTCGCCAACTTCAGTCATTTTTGGCATTGATTAAGTGGGCAAGAATCAGACCTTATTGGACAGTGTGTGGTCTACGAATCTATATTCTCTAGTTGTTTTTGACATATCCGGCTGTTGTTTTGGAAATACATTCATTATTAATCATATTCTAATGACTTTACTGTGAATTCGTACGTTTATTCCGAATTCCACTTCTTTTTTCGAAGAATATTTTCTAATTTTTTTTCGATGTACTGAATAAATATTTTTACCGCACTGTGGCGTGTGGGGGTGCATACTTCTATTAGGCCCTACATCGCTTTGATAGATTGGTTCAGGGCATATGTGTTGACGTGATCCAGAAAATTTCTCGCAAATGGCAAGCAAGGATCAGGAAACGCTAAGAAGCATTTCATCTAATCAGCGTTCACTTGAAGCTTTAGCTAGAAACATCAAGGAAATGAAACGTCACATGTAGAGGTTTTGATTGGCTGATTGCTATACTGCTTCTATGTTTAGTAGCATTCCAGGATCTTCGAGCAACCCCAGGACATTTAAAATATTATAAAAATCCTGTATTTTCTGTATTAAAATGAACCTTTGGAGTAAAGTATTTCTCGCATACTTTGCGTCTTCTCTCTCGTGTTCAGGTTGCTGTATAGTTCTAGCTGGGAGTTAAAGAATACCTTAGGAAACGAATATAGCGTTCAATTTGCAAGACTTATCAATATGCAATGAATGTAATGAATTCAACTACGTAATTATATTGTGTGGAAATCAATTTGGTGATCGTTGCATTGCAGTCAAGGAAATGAACGTTTTTTCATGTTTATCAGTTGTAAATTGTGTATGGATTACACAGTTATTGAGATAACAAATGAATCAATAAGACCAATTATTGTCAACTATAATTCGTTTGTTCTCCTTTATATTAGTGTTATTGTTTTGCTTGACAGTCGAAGATATGTGGCTTCTCTATTTACGTAAACGGTTTTGAATTTATCAATCGCTGTGTGGAAATTCATCTTGAATAAACAAATAATTTGATAGAAAAGTACATAATCATTGTTTTATGATTTATTGCATGTGTATACTTGTAGTGACTTGACTTCGAGATAAGTACTTAGGCTTCGTATATAAATCACCCTGGTAACCGTTATTAAGCGACTAACATTTAGGGTAGTGTGAGGATTATGAGCATAAGCTTTCGCACATGATCAAGCATGCATTTTCATACAGACGTGATAGTAATAATAATAATACAAAGTTATAGACGAGTTGTTACTGTTCGAGTAACACAAATAAGTTAATTGAAGGACTTGACAAAGTTAACCGTAAATAAACTTAATTGTAGGAGAGGTGCTATATACTTACACCACCAAATAAGTCATTCAGTCAAAAGGAAAGTAGACCCTGACACATACATCGGTTAAGCTCACCACATATCAGCGCAGAAAGATGAAATCATCAAGACAAATACCGGAGTAGTAGAAGCAGTAACAGTTTCAGTACAACAGGAAAGATTAGGCATAGACGATATGATTAGAGAATAAAGAGAAATTTCGTTTGTCAAATGGTATGTGAATTTCAAAACGGTGAACACATCTGTTCCACAACCATCGATTTTAACCTATATCTCCGATCACTGGTTATGATAGTCATGTGGACCTTAACCAGATGGTGTGAATCTACCTTCACAGTTCAGTCCAACATGTATGAATTGTTCTCACGATTTGGTTTGGGCTGATCAAATCAGTAATGAAGTATTATACCTAAGAAATACTTGTAACATTCATTTTTGATTTCAACTTCTCACTGATTTTCTCATAAAAGAGCTTTAGTCAAGATGTCATGTTTTGTTGCTGTAAAATAACTTCTTTCAAACAACTTTACGTTAATGAAATATTTCTTAAAATTTTGAAAATACAATAAATCCGCATTTCATCCACAATATAATTACTTCTAATGATTAATGTGGGTAATTTTTTAGAAAAGTAGCATTGGCTGATTTCCTGACAAAATCACTGAAGTTAAACTTTGAGATGAAAGCATTATTTAATAGGTAGCTGTATATAGTAAAATATCTAAAAAATTTACAAGACGTATTTCACTATGATGTTTCTGTGTAAATCAGCTAACTATGAGGAATCATAAAGCTTTTAACTTCTTAAGGTAGAACTCACATATTCAATCACCTAATAGAATTACATTTGACTTATAATCAGATACGTTTCAGATTAAGCGTTTCTTCTTTTAAAAAATAATAAAAAACGGTCATTTTACAAATAACCTAGTCTTAAGAAGTTATTCTAAGCAGCTGGTAAACAGAAATTCGGATTAAAAAAACTGTAAAAGTAAATCTAGTAAACAATAGAAAACTGGCTGAACCTATCTGATATAAAAGTTTCGTAGTATAAATATAACGTCACTTCTATGAAAAATATCATATCGTTTTTATTCAATAAATGTAAAATTATTCATAGTAAAAAAGGTGATCTCGGTTACTTCTGAGGATGTAGGGGGGTTTGCCACTTCTTAGTTGTCTGCATGAAAAACTATATTTCTTGAGAAATCTGAAAAGGAAACTAGATTAGTAGTTGTTGTCTTGGTGAACTGAGGGCGTGACCACAGAGCAAAAAGGACAGTTGCTTGAGACCGGTAATTCTCCATGTGTTAACCCTGTACTTTAAAGGTTTTACTGCCGGAATTGCTGTTCAAGGTGAATCGTGCTAATTTTAAGATCAACCTCTTCTAACCATCTGTTTCCGTTGTGAGAAGGTA